AGTGGGGGTAACTGCAGGAGCCTGGTGACCTGAATTTCATCTCCAGAATTTGGGTCAATGTGGAAACAGAGAAGCAACTCCATGAAGTTGTCCTTGGACCCACACACGCGCACTGTGGCACACATATGCTCACACTCATACATACATCGGCCCCACACCCAATCAAGAAAAAGGAATAAATGGATGGGTAGCTTCACAAGCCATACTGACTGGAAGCTTTGTGGTAAGGCGGCGCCAGCTATTCCAGTCATATAAAACTGTAAGTTCTACCATCACAAAGACATCTCCAAAGTGCTTAGATATCTGTTCCATGTGTGCACAGGTCAAGGACAAGGGATCTTAGTAGATACTTTACAACAACCATCCTTCCTTCCTTTAACAAGTATTCAGGAGGTCTCTTTTCCCTTTTTCTCTGCATGTAGCACTTTCCTACCCATCTCTCCTGAAAGGGGAACCAATTAAAATTATGAAACAGGTACACACCCAAACTCACTCTAGAACTTTTAACTAATTCAAAATATTGCCTAATTTCTGCCCTCGATAGAAGTATCTATCACCATAATGTCAAGTATATAACCATCACAGTATAAGAGATTTTATCAATGCTAAAAATACCAGGAATGAATAAAACCTTGTTTGTTTGTTTGTTTGTTTTTTGTTTTTCGAGACAGGGTTTCTCTGTGGCTTTGGAGCCTGTCCTGGAACTAGCTCTTGTAGACCAGGTTGGTCTTGAACTCACAGAGATCTGCTTGCCTCTGCTTCCCCAGTGCTAGAATTAAAGGCATGTACCACCACTGTCCAGCTTGGACGATAACTTTTATAGCATCCTTTAAAAAAGACATTGCAGACACATGAATTCAAACTTAAATACCTGTAACTTACTTGTGAAAATTGTCAGCTAAATCTCATGAATGCTTTTCAGACTAAAGTCCGTCTAAAGCATTTGCATTGGCATCAGTGCAACAGAGAAAACAGTAGCACACCTTTACTGCCTCGCATGAAACAAAATATTTACAAAGCCAGAAGGAGGAAAGTAACTCTTACCACCTTCCTTGCTGCAGAGGCTGACAAGGTTATGGACTGTGTCCATAAGCTCCAGTTGTTGCTTCTGAAGGACGCTGTTGTTGGTGGTGGCTCGGGTCAGTTGCTTCTCTAACTCCTGGATGATGAATGTCTGACGTGTAACCAAGCCTTGAAGGTTTTCTTTCTCTTCCTTCAAGGTGTCCAGCTCTTCTTTGTGTTTTCCCTCCATTTCTAAGATTTTATGTTCTAGTAAGCTGCAAGGAAATGAAAATGAGACTTTATTCGTACAGTGCTAGAGCAACACTGCTGTAGTTCTCCTTGTTCCTGAGAGGAAGATTAGAAGTTTAAATTATTTATTATATATGTATGTGTTCATGTACGCGTGCAAGTGTGTGTTCATGTGTGTGTGTGATGTTCATGTACACGTGCACATTTCACGTGCCGTGGTTCGTTCGCAAATTTCAGACAACGATTTACAAGCGTTGGTCACTTCCTTACCCTATGTGGGCTCTGAGGGTTGACCTCAAACCATCAGGCTTTGCATCAAGGCCCCTTAACCACGGAGTAATCTTGCTGGCCCATAAAAGTATTTTTTAAGAGACAAAAATCTATATACTGTCAGCCATGTGAAAAACACTAATCAAAACTACAGTGAGAGTCCATCTCACTGTTGGCAGAAGGCCAGTCATTGAGAGAACAGCAGCAAAGAGCCCAGTGGCCAAGGGCACTCACTGCTCTTACGGAGGGAGGACTCAGGCTCCATTCTCAGCACCCACAGTGCAAATCACAGACGCTTGCAATTCCAATCCCAGAGGATCAAAATGTCTCTTTTAACCTCCATGGGCCCATGCATGTGCCTGGCTCGTCTATACACTCACGCATGTATATACACAGCAAATGATTCATTGCAAAAAAGAAAATGACTCCATTTAAAAAACAAAAAAACCAAAAATAAATAAAAAACAAACAACAACAACAAAATAGAGTGTGCTGGATGTCTCTACAATTTTGTTCAAATGACTGCAGAACCTGGAAAAGCTGTTGCTGCTATTGATGCATAGCATATTG